TGCCGTGGAGGAGGGGGCGGCCCGGGCTCGGCGGCGGCGGGAGGAGGAGGAAGAAGAAGAGAAAGAGAAAGTTTGGCGCAGGGGGAAGGCGAGCGGGACGCAGCGAGCGAGCAGGGCGCGGGCGCGGGGAGCGCGGGCGGCGGCGGCGGCCGGGCGCGGGAGCCGGGAGGGGGCAGGACGAGCCCCATGCAAAGCAGCCCGGGCGCCCCGAGGAGCCCCGCGTCCGGGCGGTGGCGGCGGGAGGAGGAGGAGGAGCAGGCGGCGGCGGCGGCGGCGGCGGCGGGAAAAAAAAAAAAAAGAGGGAAAAGTTGCCACTTACGCGGTTGCTTCTCCGGCGGCGGCGGCTGCAGCGGCGCTGCTGGCGGCGGCGGCGGCGGCGGGAGCTGGCGGCGCTTTTAATCCCGAAAAGAGGCGCTCGGGCCGCGGAGCCCATCAAGGCAGCAGCGGCGGCTGGCGGGGGTCGGCGGCGGCGGAGGACGCGCTGCTGGCGGCGGCGGCGGCGGCGGCGGAGCTGGAGCGCGCTCGGCGGAGCCCGGGGCGGGAGGCGGCCGCAGCCGGGGAGCCGGAGCCGCCGCCGCCGCTGCCGCCGAGCAGCATGGTTGGCGGGGAGTTTACAGCCCCCGGAGCGGGCAGGGGCCACGGAGGAGAAGCGGCGGCGGCGGCGGCAGCGGCTCTAGGCTGTAATTGGGATGCAAAGCAGGCGGCGGCGGCGGCGGCTGCGGCCGGGAGGAGGAGGAGGAGGAGGCGGCGGCGGCGGCGGCTGCAGCGGTCGGAGGGGACGCGCTGGAAGTGGGAGCTGATGAGTGAAAAGAAAAAAAAGTCTTTGGATCTTTATTCTGCTAATTAGTTTCCTGCAAAAAATGGCTGTGATTAATTCAGTGCGCATGTGCTTCATTACCCAGGCACGACGGGAAGGGCTAATTAGCCACCTTCTGGATCAATAAGATTCAGCAAAAAAGAAAAGGGGGAGGTGGAGGGAGGCAGAGGGGAGGAAGGGAGAGAGAGAAAAAAAAAAAAAAACCAGGGGAAAGTGATGAGCAGGGCGAGGAGAGCAGGAAGAGAGGATGGGAGAAGAGCCCAGGAAGAGGGAAGGAGGCACGAAAAGTTTATGCATGTATTAAAAAACACACACATACATACATACACACACACACACACACACACACACACACACACACCGAGAAGTTAAATGCAGAGAAGCAACAATAGGAACCTGGATAAGATATTTTTTAAATATTTTTTCTTTCTTTTTTTTTCTTCCTTCTTTCTTGTTCTTTTCCCCTTTCTTTTTATTTCTTTTCTTCTTTTTTTTTTTTGGCAAATGCACCAATGTTTAAATTAAATAAGAAGAGAGCATCTTCAAAGAAGCGAGGAGTAAGGGGGGCGATAATGGAGTGGGACAGCTTAAAGCAAAGATTTAAGTGAAAGAACAGAGAAGCAGCAGACTTCGAATAGAGGCCACTTTAAATTGCAAATCTGAGATTTTTTTTTAAAGGAGGAAAATTACCTCCCCTCAAATCAGAGGACAAATAAAGAAAATATGGAGAAAACTTTAACACGTACCATAGACTAGACAAATATATATATATATATGTATATATATATATATAATATGTTAATTTTGTCTTCTGAAATAAGATGCAATCAATCTTCTCTGGTTCTTTAGAAGGAGAGGGGAAGAGAGGAGTGATGATTAGAAGAAATAAAGGGGGGAAAGTGAATCAGAACTGAAAGGGGGTAACTTAAGGAAAGACAAGAAAAGGAAAAGTTGCACTTGGAAACAAGTCCAACTTTCTACCTTTCTGGACTTAAGAGAAAAGTAAAATCAATTTTCTCGTGTAAAACCTGGAAAGCAGATGTTTTCAAAACACAGGAAGCTATTTTGCCATCAAAAGCAGGGATGTAATAAAGGCAGTGAAAAATAATTTCAGACTAAATTCGTAAGAAAGAAAGCCAATATATTTAAATAGCGAGGAAAGGTCTAGAGTGGAGAAAGGGGGGAAATTACATACCCCTTCCTTAATGCCAAAAAAAAAAAAGTCTTACAGCTACCTCCAAGAGTTTGGAGCAGAGTCTCGAAGCCAAAGGGCTTGAAATGAGAGGATGGATTTCAGATAAAGACTGGGAGCAGTACATCCCACCAAGAGCCCAAAGGAGATCCCTGGAATCAAAGACAGCACCAGGGACCCTGCTACTGTACCGATTCCCAGTACATCAAAGCCATCATTTAGGCGGGTGTACGATACCTCCAAAAAGCAAGCAAACAAACGCAGAAAGAACACGAGTCTGTCTCTCTCTCTCTCTCTCTCTCTCTCTCTCTCCTCTCTTCTCCCCCTTTTCAATCCTAGCATAAGCGTCACTGCTACTGCAATAGATTTTTTTTAATGACAAGTGTGTATTTATGTAAGTTCTAAATATGAACTAGTACCATTGAAATTACAATGTCTGGAATAAAATAAAATGCAATTTGCACTTTAAGTGATCTGCAAATAAATGTAAAACCAACGTTTTTGTTTCTGAAGGCATTATTGGTGCACCCTGTAACATCAGGTAGAGAGCGCACACTAAAACTTACTTTTCTTAGGAAAAAAAAAATTTTTTTTTGCCCCAGCCTAGATGGATTATTTAGTGTAGAAGGAATTTGGGAATTAATCGGGAAATCTGTTTGATTGGAAAAGAATTCTTCATTTTGAGAGATTTTTCCAGTGCTCTTAAGAGCATGCAGCTTCTTAGTCAAGACTAGGGGGAGAAAACCGGTTTAGGATTTTGCAGGGTTACCTCATCTAATCCTTGTGAATTCACTCTGGGAATAATGCTGTTTTATTTAGGGGAAAAAAGAAAGAAAATACATTTAGAAAAATCGGGGGTTTCCTCTCCAGGAGCCAAATCCTGATTGCCATTCAAACTTTTCCTGGCTGCTTTTCCATGCGGGACAGTTGATCAATAAAAGCCAAGTCCAGCCTGGCTTGCTACAGGTTTCACCAGTCAGTGCTTGCAAAACCTTTGTCATTTTCTAAAAATAAAAAAGCTAAAAGTTATTGTCAAAGAAGGGGCTTTTTTTTGTCCCCTGCACAATGTGTCTTTTGTGAGGTTAATGCCATTCTGGGCTCTCGATAGCCCTGGACAATGGGAACTGTCCAGGAGCCTGCAAAGTCTCTGGCTTTTTTCTTTCTTGATTTTTTTTTTTTAAGGGCAGGATGAAACATTCCTACAGTCCAAACACAACTTCTACTTTGATTAAATAAATATTTATCTTGATTGTAGCCATTGTATATTTTTACCTTCAGTTTGTCCGGTTTCTGATTATTATTTTAAATTTTTCATTGGCAACAGTTAATATGTTTTTTTTTCCCTTTCAGTCCAAAGGGCAGGTCAGCGTAAAAAGTAGCTGACTGATGGAAGACTGGTAAATTCTGAATTTTTCCATAATACATCAGGTAAGGAAAATTATTCAGACCCTCAGGAGTATATTTACTTCCTATTTATCTGTCTTCATGAATCTGCATAAATCTGTTAGTTTTTTTTTAATATGAAGCAGAATTAAATTTCTCCTTGTAGATCTTGAAAACTCACTTCAATGCTATGTATTTAATTTCTTTTAAGAATGTAAATAGTACTAGAAGTGAACTTGTAGCTTGTTTTTTATACAGAATGGTGCGGAAGAAGTCAGTATCTCCACGGGTATAGGCTATTTGGGGGAAATTCTAGATATAAATGTATTTCATGTAGCAATATAGGAAAATGTCAGCTTAATCTGGTAAATACTTATGCTAATTTTACTGAGTGAATTCGTTATAAGGAGGAGAGGTACCAAGCTTGTATGATTGAATTATGCTTCGGCGATAATCCAGCATCTATGTGGGTTATTTTATGTACAAAATGGGGGGAAAAAAAGGAACCAAGAAATTCAGAATCTAAAGCCTTCATTTAGTTGGCAAGAGGGCAGAAAATTTTAGACCAATCTGTTTTGAAGATATTTACAGTAGGGAAAGAAAGTGGAATGTAGGCTAAATATTGCATTGATGTGTATATTTCTCTGCCTCTTGCTCAAAGGAATGGATATATACATATATAAACACAAAGATATATGCATAAATGGGTACATAAATATACATTTGAATGACTTTAGATGTGTTTGCATCCCTGTGTGTGCGTGAATATATATGTGCACACAAATATACAAGGTGTACATGAGTGCAGGTACTGTACAGAGCGGTATGTGTGCTCTCTCGCTGGGGGATTTTCTTTCCAAATCTGTTTGAAGCTACTTTTTTTGCAAATATAACATAGAAGTGCTGGTTTGATGATGAAGATGTAGATGTTGAATTTGAGTGAGAATCTGCTCCCCGGCGATTTTTAGCATCTGGGGCTGCACTAGGAGCAGCTATTACATTTGGTCCAAGGTGCAATGGGCCAGTCTTAAGGGGAATAAGATCTTAGGAGATCTTACTTCCAAAGAGCCTAGCTTCTGGGCCCTAGGTTTTCTTCTGCTGGGGGTTTGAGGGACAGAAAAAGCAAAAGTAGGGGGAGGAGGAAGAAAAAAAGAAAACCCCGTGTGGAGGCAGGGGGGGTTGAAAGGACGCCTCTCCGTGCAAACTCTAGAGCTGGATCTAAGAGAAAGGCTGCAGGGTGAAGAATGCGCCGGTCCCTTTTTGAATGTGTATTGTTATTCTAAGTCTATTGTATGTACGTGTTACTGTCCTTTCATTTGCCACGACAACATATGGATTCCATAAATGCAGACATGCCGAAGTGCATCTGTCTGGCTAGTTAACACGATCCAAACATCCCTCTTCGTTCCGCTAACTCCGGCTCTTCCTCCGGCTCCCCGGCAGCGCTCCGGGCCGCCCTCCCCGTGCCCCAGGTTCGCAGCGCCCCGCAGTCTCGCCCTTTTGTGGTCTCCTCGTGGGATCCAAGGTGCCTCGCGGAGGAGGCGGGCTGCTCGCGGTGCCGGGGTCAGAGGCGCCGCTGCCGCCGGCCTCTGAGCGTGCGGGGATGAAAGGGTTAAGCTGCGCGAGCCCAGGGAAGGGGCTGCGCTCGTCCCAGAGCGAGGTGCAGCCACCAGCAGCTGTGATTTAGGGGTCAAGTCCGAGATCACCTTTCTCCTGCCTCTGGAAATGGCAGAAGATGAGGTAGGGTGGGAGAAACAGGAGGGAGAGGCAGCCAGGCGCGGCACTTGGCGCTCCATCCATCCGTTCCCTACCCCAGCCCCCAATCCACCTCCTGACCCCCAGACAAATCGAACAGTTCCCCTTTCTCCTAGGGGTGCGGGTGAGGTTATTCTGAGCATCCACAATTGCTCCATCCGCAGCTCTGTCCTACGGTTAAACCACTGTGCCCCGAGCCTCAACCACCAAATCACAAAGTTTGCTCTTAATGCACCAGAGGGTGAGCAGCTGAGGCTGGGTAAAAAATGCTCCCCGTTTGAGGAAAACAGGGGTGCCCTCGACAGGATGGGGGAATTTGGATGTTGGCGCCAGCCCCTCAGACTTTGGTCATGCTCTTCACAGCCGTGAGCGGATGTACACAGTGGTGTCCATTACATGCAGCTTCTTGTTTTGTGTCCACGTTCTCTGTCAAAAGCTTTGTCTCCCCCCACATCCCCCACTCCAACTCAGGGATCCTGGAGAATACTTTTGTCAAAATATTTTTCATGCCTGAAAGATAACCAAAAAAC